AAGAATTAATAATAACTATTTTTTTAACCAGTTATGAATAAATGCCTTATTTTATGTAACAAGTAGGTAAATATTTGCGGTACGAGTAAATGAACGAGTTACACAAAACGGCAATTCGTAACATGTGTTACATACAATATTTTTTCTAATTTTGATTAGTTATTTATAAAATTTTGTTTGTTAAAAAATACTTAAAATTAATTTTTTGTACTTCCATCAAAGATTTTATGGAAAGAATATTTGGAAAATTGTAGAGAAAGAAATGTCGCATTTTATATGATTTAATTTATTTAAATGAACACAAGTAGGTAGTTATTTCAAATACCTATGTTTTAAAATAAAAAATTAAACAACAAAAAATTTAAACTATAATTTAAATGGTAGTGTATCATCTTGTTCTTAAGGAGTTACCATGTTGATGTGACCCAAATATTTATAGTAGTCATGAAACTGTTTTGAAACCCATATAAGGAAATTTTGTAGTTTTTAGTGAATATTATTATGCTAGTTAGAAAATTCGATGGCAAACTCCAGTCCAGATCTAGTAAAATTAATACTTTGAAAATTTTCGTATTCCAAATCGATTTTATGGAATAGTTTCCCACTATTTATTTGCCCTCCTATAACAGTCAAACATTTTTATTACTTTATTTTAGACTACCACTTATAAAGTAGGTACTTTAGCAAAACTTTGCTGTTCAGATATCACTGAAGGCCGAAGAAATAATTATTGTTAAAGTTGAAAATTGTATGTCCCCTATGACCCGTAACGTGTACTAATGATTTCAGAAAATTTAAATTTTGTTACCAAATGTCTACTTTTATTTTCTTATTGGTCCCATCTCTGTGTGTATATAATTATGAGTCTGTTCTTTTTTAGGGTTCCGTACCAAAAGGGTAACCATCGGGACCCTATTACTAAGCCTCGGCTGTCCGTCCGTCTGTCGGTCAGCGGGCTGTATCTCATGATCTGTATCTGTAACGTGCGGAGGGTGGGTTACCCCCACGGCACTTAGGCCTCATTAGGCCCGTTGTGCATCCTCCTAAGATTCTGGACAATGCATTAAGTGATGTTTCAACAAAATAAAAAGGATTGCGTCGTATATTTTATATTTGTTGTAGTTGTCAATGTGTATTTTAAGTAAATAATAAAACCTATAAATAAAATTTCAAGTTTTTTTTTACTTCTACAATCAGTAAAATTGGTTGCAAACTGAAACCGCTTGATTGCAACATCAATATATTCCCCAATAAACCAAATGTCAGAAACTAAAATTAATTCATACAATTCTGTATTATATTTCTATTTCTGAATCATTTGTATTTAACATGAATCCTGGATTTGTGAAAGCAGATTCAGCTAATACAAAACCGTCTACAAACGTCAAATAAGATTAAAAAAAAAAAAAAAAATACCAACCACTGAAGTAATTTACGCATTACGAGAAGAAAACATAAATTATTTAAAAATATTTGGCACCGTTGTAACAATGTGTAGTTGTATTCTATAGGGTGAATTTATGCGGAAACATGCGCATGGTTTAGAACGTCCCTGAGGTCATCCTAGGTCATCTAGATGGATGTAGAATTGAAAGTTATGAAAAAAATTTTAGTCAATATGGCGGCCCTCCACCTATAGCGAACATGAGCCTGGTAAACTATGGGTCAAATCGTCTTAAAAAGTATACCAGTGGATAGAGAAAAAAATATAAGACCTTTCGAACTCTTATGTTTGTCTTGCCCCCCATTTTTGGGGGGGGGGGGGGGTTTAAAAAAAACTTGTAATTGGAAAAAAAATTCTTACTATAGAGGGTGTGGTGCGTTATTTTAAGCCAAATTTTTTAAGTATCCTTCCCGTACCCCCCCCCACCCTTCCTCCTATTCCGTCTGAATTCAAATCTAGTAAAAAAACATCTTGTGTAGCAAATTGGTATATATGGTTGTATAGAGGGGCTTAAAAGGAAAATAAAAAATTGGTGCTCCCGTTCCCCCAATTTTTAAAGGAGGGTTAAAAAAAATAAAAAAAAAATAAAAAAAAAATTCAAAAATCGGGGAACATAGTGCACACCCTTGGGGGTATAAAATTTTTTCATGACTAGCTTTCCCCCCTTATTTCCCCATTATGCATTCTGTTTTCTACAGGAATTTATTTTTGATTTTTGTTAATTTTTTGATATGGCTGTATTGGAAAAAATCGAAAACCGGCCGAAATGAGTTTCAATACATCCCTCTTTTTTTCAAAATTCAAAATTTTTGTTTTTATGAAGGACAATGACCAAAATGCGATTGAATGGGGGTAGTAAATATTCTTTGATAGAGATCATTGTGATTGACCGAAGGTCAAGTTACCATCCCCTTCCATAAAGTGTGTGGAGGGAATGAAACTTTTTGGTCAAAAATAGGGTATTTTGAGATATGCGTTGTATAGATAATTAAAAAATAAAAAAAATTGTTATGAAGTAACTTTTCCACACCATTTTTAAATTTTTATAGGGTTTGTTTTTTATTTTTTTATAATTATTTTCGATATATTTTATGATGTTGTGTCAGAAGAGGTCAAATGTAGTAAGGCGCTTGGTACTACCTTCCCCCTTCCTCCTTTTTTGAAAGCCTCAAGATAACCTCAAATTGAAAATTCCGATGCGTTGAGTCCATTACAACACAAAAAATGGACTTAATTCTCTTTTGTTATGGGATACAGATATAATTTCGGTGGTAGTATGGGGTACTTATGGGTTTACTTCGAATATGCAAGAGGATTTTATTACCTGTAAATTAATAAATAAAGATATTTTTTTTCTTACGGCCACATTGGAAATGATACATATTACACTGGTTAGTCCGTTGGAAAGTGCTCGATATACAGTAAGGACGTAAATTAATCAATTAATATTAGTTCAATCGATTATTTTTCCAACTCCTAATCATGATATCCGCAACTTTTTCTTATAAATAACTAGAACGAAGCATTTTTGTAATAAAACGTCCAATGCACTAGGTACTAATATCACTTAATTCTGTTTTAAATAATGGCATAGATATTATTTTAAGGTTTCTTTAATTTATAAAAAGCGTTTCCTTAGTAACAAAAACAATAATAGTAAATACGAAGATTACCAAGAATGTAACTTATTTCAATCATATACTTAAAGTAATTTCTGTGAAAACAACAAAAACCTAAAACTGTTTGCATGGACCTAAAAATAATTAAAATATTTTTCAAATGAGGTATCACATGACCATGACCCTACTTTCCATTAGAAAATTTAAAGTAAAGTTATTCGCTCAGTGCGAAGTCATGGTAAGGGAAGCAAAAGCGATACTAGCGCTAGCTGCGGATAATTTGTGCATTTTAGGGCGATATTTTGTAATTTTGGCATATTAAATACACGTGTACATTATACTTTTTTTTTCAAAAAAGTAGGTAAAAACAATACAATAAGCAACCGGAGTTGCTGTGTTGAAAATTGTAAAATACTTGCAAAAAAGACAATGAAAATTAATCTAAGGTAAATTATAAAAATGTTCAGTAGCAAAATGGAAATTAAATCAAAGAAATAAATGGATATGTGTACAATAAGAAGAAAAATTACCTTCATTTGTGTATTATTAACAGTAATAATGGAAATAGTAGACATCAGAAACTTGAAAGGTTTTAAGTAAACAATAAATATCATTTTACGATGTTCTTTAACATCCCTTTAATTTTAAATGTTCATCAAGAACTAGATTTCTGCCTTTGATTATTGTATGTGGCTGAAATGCAATTTTGTGTCTTACTGATAGAAAACCAGTTTTAATCATTCATTCTATGTTTTCTTTCGAACAAAAATGAAAATATAAATAACAATACTTCTGCTAATACATTTTAACTTCACGCAATTATTTAAAGGTATTTTTTATTTTGACAGGATAGGTTAATTCTTAAAAGACTTAGACTTCTCATACATTTTCCCGTAAATACTGTTGCCTGCCTTTATTTAATTATTGATTTTTATTGAATATACTTATTTTTTTGTAGTTTAAGCTATAAAAATGTATAATAATAATAAATTAATGTTTTACTTGTTTTACAAATCCATATACTTTTATTAAAAGTAACATATATACTTTTAATTACGAATTCTATTAAAAATTGTATTGTCAGTATAGGCAAAAATAGTCCATTAGTACAAAAATAAATTGGCGCTGCTGTCACGCACGGAGCGAATAACAAAATGTTATAACAAAAATATCATATCTCTTAAATTTCATCTCGTTTTGGTTTCATATCTCTATCTTCTTCCATTTAGAAGATAGAATGGAGGGGGGGGGAAGGGGTGAAATTTATATCCTCACTGCATATGATATTACTTTCAGCCGATGTGTGGATTAGAACCTACTTTTCCTATAAGCTGTTAAATATGTCAGATGCGTCATTTCTATTTTGATTTATATAATATTTATATTATATTAAAAGTAAAATAAGTGAAATGGTGATTTAAAATAAATATTAATTTTATACTGTTCTTATTATTTAAATATGTACTAGTCTTCTAAAATACTATTAAAGAGAGCCTCTACTTGTACTGCGGAATAACGGATTCACTGGCGCATACACTGGGTCATAATACATTATTTCGTGAAAAAAGTCATGAAAACAAAAGAAAATGAAGAAAGGCAAGAGGATAGTCGATATTAAAGCCCTCCACACCTTTTGATATGCGACAAGCGGTTCGAGACAGAGAGGGTGAAAGAGATTAGGGTTTTTTAGTCAGTATAGGAGACTGACACTACTGGATAGAGCTAAAGTAGCAAGTGCCCATGACAGATTTTTACCCTATAAAAAAAGAAAGACACGCCGTGTTGTATTGCCATTGATTACACTGGAAATAAATCCAACCTTAGATTATTATTCAACCTCAAGTCCATAATCAAATACTTTGAAAACAAGTAAATAGGTACTCGTATAATAAATAAAAAAAAAAAACTAAAAATCACTATCATTTATGTGTGTAATAATTCTAGAGTATTCTGATTTAGTATAAATAGGATCGTGGCAAAATCGAACTTTACTAGTTATAGTTTTTTCTCAAACGGTTCAAGATGAAAACGGCGCTCATATTGTTGGTCGTCACATTGTCTTTGTCCTACGTTTTTGGACAAAAGGACCCTCATTTCGCAGATGGAAGAAATACTATTGTGCATCTTTTTGAATGGCATTGGGACGACATCGCAAACGAATGTGAGAATTATTTGGGACCAAAAGGATATGCCGGAGTTCAAGTAAGATATTATTTTCAATTTTTATTTTCATTAATTTCGAGCAGTATAATTCGTTAATTATTGAATTAAAAAACAATAACAATAAAAATATTACTCTCTTAGTAGAAGTTTTTTGTTAATTCAAATTAAAGAACGCCAATAATTAATCACAAAATGAATACATTGGTTGACCTTTAAAATAAGTGAATTTGTAAATAAATTATATAATTATTAATTTAAAAATATTTTTATATATGGTGCTTCAGAGTAAAATGTACATACGTTAACCGTTTGTAAGTGGATGATTCGAAATCGCCTGTTATTGATGGTTCTAGCACATTTCATTTCCTGTACACAGGGTGTTTTATTTATCTCGTACGAGTTTTTATTAGGAAAAAACTATGGAGTGTAGAGGAAAGGAGGACAATCTCATTGTTGTTTTTCTTAAAAAGTGTCCCCCATAATGTATAAAATTAAGATGGCGCTTGTGTACTAGAAGGAAAAGATCCAATGATATATAGTTATGTAGATAGCACACCCATATGTAAATCAGACGACGAAAAGCACTATTGTCAAAATTTCTCTACGATTATAAGCTCAGTCACTTTTTACGATGGTTTTTCATGATGTAATTTTCAGTTTTTAGGCTGTACCCTTCAAACTGTAACTAAAAATTTTTTTTTGTCAGAGGACTTGGGGTATTTCTGTCACTTTATAAAAATTTAAAATTTGATAGATTTTTCGCGAAATACTTAGCAAAAGATAATTCCCAAGAAACCATAATCATTATGTTTAACAAAATTTGGAAATTTCTTTGCACCCCTAAACAGCATTCTGTGTAACAACATTTTGTGTATTATCTGAATTTTAAAGTTTTTTCAAATTCACACATTTCATTTCAGAGGTTCTAATTTTTTTGTTAAACATTAATTCTATAACAATTTTAGTTATAAATTATAAATAATTTCTTTTTTGGAAAAATGAAAATATTTTTGTATTCGTATGTATTTCTTACATGTCTCAATTTTGCACTATTTCAGTTCTTTGACATAATGTTTTACAAGTCTGCGGTTAGCTATACCACTAATTTTTTTATTTATTTTTTAAGTACTCTGTATAAATGCCCAACAAACACAGATATCGTTAATTTGGTAATTTAAATGTCAAATAACAGATGTTTTACTGTAAGTGGTTATTTAACAGAAGTCTAATGGGTAGTTATGAATCAACATCAACAAAAATATGGTAACATATATCGTCTTCAATATCACGAAGTGACGTAACTCGAAAAAATTGAAAATTGAGATAAGTCACATATTATGTAAAAAAGTATGCTCTACAATTTCACGAAATTGCGTATCTCAATTCATTACATTTATAAAAAAACTTTAAAACGCTCTTTTGTAAAGTTGTGATATTAGTTATTTAAAAAAAATTGTCGGTTATTTAATGGTAATTTCTGTAACCCTTAAATAACCTAATTATTTAATAGTCAATTTAGGGTACGTAACAAACGAAAATAAATATTACCTAAAGAAGGTCACAATTCGGAAATTTAATATTTTTAAATTAAATTAATTACTATTATGTTACTTTAAAAAAACGGAATCCTAAGGGGTACAAAAATGGTAACATAAGGGTAAAAAACCGAGAATAAATCAACGTAATATTACTCAAGTATATAGGTAACCTAAAAGTAATATATTTGAAAGACGTGAAGTAGGTTTAGGTCCGAAAACTAAATGCAATTTTATAAATTATGAAACTGGAAAATCCCCAATTCCCCCTACGAAATTACGAAGATTACATGAGAGATGTCCCCAAAGTGAAAAGAAACCAAAAACATATTGAAATAGATGAAAATTAAAGAAAGAAAAAAATGCGTGCATCTACCGGGAATCCAACCCAGATCTCAGAATTAGGCCGTCTGTACTCTAGGTACCAAATAAGCTACCGCAGCATATACGCCTTGATATCCGACTTCGCAAATTTTGAAGTCAATCAGATTCCGACTCACGTCGGTACACACAAATTCTCATCCCATCTCAGCTCCTTCAATTCTTCTTAAGCTACTCTTTTGAAATCGTGTAGAAGGGGGGTAATTTAAAATTACACTAGAACAAAGGACTCCGCACTTTTTACATTGATTTTGGGTGCTGACAGAATTTGTTTAAATTTTAGTATGTTATTTTTCAGGTTAATAACGGCAACTTTCTTATGGACCTTAAGTTTGCAGCTCTACAGGGTGAGCTGTTAGAAGGACTCAAAAGTATGAAATACAGAATTAATATTTTCATGTATATCTCTACTACTCTTAAGTAATTTATGTTTTTTCCATGAAACTTATGGTACCTTTATTACTTGTATACAGGGTGTTTCATAATATATGCGCAGGACTTCAGGACGTGATAGCTCGTCCAAAAATATGAAAAAATGTTTCTATTAACTTACCCTCTAAAATGCACCATTTTCGAGATACAGGGTGTTGAAATTAAAAAAAAAAATTCTACGCCACTGGAAAAAGTACGGTTTTGAGACGCCGATTTGAACCGCCAATGTTTTCTACACAAAAAAGGTACTCTTGGTCATACGCTCTAAAGTCGACCGTTTTCTATTTTAATTTTGAAATACATGGTCATACTACTTGATGAAACCAAATTTGATTTTTCTCGAAAACGGTCGACTTTAGAGCGTATGACCAGGAGTACCTTTTTTGTGTAGAAAACATTGGCGGTTCAAATGGGTGTCTCAAAACCGTACTTTTTCCAGTGGCGTAGAAATTTTTTTTTCAATTTCAACGGTGTATTTTAGAGGGTAAGTTAATAGAAACGTTTTTTCATATTTTTGGAAGAGCTATCACGTCCTGAAGTCCTGCGCATATATTATGAAACACCCTGTATAGTTTGGTAATTCCTACTGGCAATTTGTAAAATAAAACATACAGAGCGTTCAAAAAATTAGGAATAGTAGTTACTTATATAAGGTGCATTTTCATGTATTATCATAAGTAGAACAGTATTTCTGATCCCTTATTTGTTATATTAAATACTAGATAATATTTATTTATAGTACAGGGTGCGACAGAAAACCATAAATAATTTATAGTACAAATGATATTTTTTTACATAGATATTTAGACTTCCCAATAAATTATAAATAAATACAAAGGAAACTGCATTTAAAAAATTTAGTCTTTCCTCGAAAGTTAATCTATCTCGATTTCTTCTTCTGAACTGAACTGAACATATTCTCGAATTGCAGAGCAACCAAAGTTGTGCATTAGGTGGTAATGGCATTTCTGGAAATCCAAATCTTGATCTATGTAAAACTGCTATATCTTTTCTTTTTTGTGTACTGACTACATTATTATTTTCTTTTTCTATTAAAAAATTAACTAAATGAGGTGTGTTGCAAATAAAACAGCGAACTATTTCTCTAATTATTAAAACCAACTATTAATCTTAATAAGAACAATAATATTCTGCCAATAAATATTATACTTGTCAATGCAATTGTTTTTGTTTGTTTGCAAAAAAGGAAGGCACTATCTATAATCAAAAAATTCCTAACAAACTTTTAAAATTGTTTCTAATAACATAGCTCAAAAAAAAGTATGAAATATACAATGTAAAATAGAACATAGTCTGAAAATGCAAAGGTTACATCGCTGAATGTTAACTCTATCATAATAATTTAGTTGCTAGTAAATTTAACGTTCTCTAAAATTTTAGCTTATAAAATCTTTTTGCAAGTCTGATTGATAAAAAAATAAATAAAAAAAGTTATGTCATATGCCTAGATAATATTCCATAGCATGAGAAAAGTATATAGGCACATGGGTGTGGAATAGCTAATCAATAAGAATTGGCCAGAATTAAATATTATCAGTATTTATAACAGGAAGTTTTTTTTATAAATTACTACTGCAAAAACTTTATAATATTTTTTATATGGTTTAATTTTAAATAAACTAAACGTACTAAATCTACAAAAATAGAAAAAAGTGGTAAACTGACATCTACACTCTATATAAGAATCAGGAATTACTTTTTAATTCTGAATCATTTATTTAAGTGAGGGTTAGTAGTAGTATTTCGAAACTAAAGAAGAGGTAGAATGGGATTCGGTTAGTTATAGAGATTATAATACAAACAAACTTAATTTCGCTTCGTCTTTCTAGATTATTTTAGGTAGATATACCTCTGGCATTTATAGATAGAGAATTTTTCTATATCTTTAAGGGACAACCTACAAAATGAACAATTATTCATATAAAATTGTAGTATGATCAAGAAATTATCCTTGTTTAAGGGTCAATCTTTTCACCTCTGAGTAAAGTTACATGTAAGTTTACTTGGCCCTTAATAAAATATATAATAAAATTTCATACTTTTTTGAAACTTCGTTTGCCTTTGGTTGGAAACAAAAGAAATGCTCAATGCATAGTTGGGTATATTCTGTATATATTCTTGGGTATATTATGTAGACTCTGGAACAAAAAACAAAATAATTACAACCCTTAGGGTCGGTTTTTTCACCTTCAGATAAAGTTTCAGGTAATGTTTATCTCCCAAGTATCTCAAAAAGTAATCTTTTCACTTCTGGATAAACCTAACTTCTGAAAGATAACTTATCTTACTAATGGAATTCTTGATAAAATACTTCACTGATGGATAAACAAGTAGCTACCTAACCACATAAGGTTAAAAACTACTGGTTACCTACCCTGCATATTATTTTCTGAAAAAGACAGAAAATTAATTATCTGACAGATGGTAACTCTCAAATAATATATCCGTCAGTTAGTTATCTAGAAGTTTATCTGAAGGTGAAAAGACCGACCCTTATTTTGTAAATATAACCTCAAAAATAATAGTAATTTTTTTACCTGACGTTTTTCGGTAACAATCGTTGAATTGACACACATACTTCCGATTTATTACAGTTTTGAGTCGCAGTTTTATTTAAACTTAATTTTTAATAAATTCACAATTAAAATTACCTGATTGATTTTTAGAATT